CCCTCCCCGTATTCTTTTTAAAATTTTGAGACAGGGGAGGCGTAGGACGCGGCAGTCTCAGCGGAGGCAGAAGCGCGCCGGCGGGCGTGGAGCCCACGGGTCCTGGGTACCGGGTTCCCCGGACGCCCCGCCCGCAGCTCTGCTGAGCTTGATGAGACACGCCGGAGTCCCCGGCGCCTGGAATGACCAGAGCATCTGTCGGGCGAGAGCTGCTCTGATGGTTTAGGTGGGTGGGGATGCCAAGGAGAAGCGGGTGTTGGCCGGGGCTCCTCAGAGTCCAGTTCCATCCCACATGGGCAGCTACACGTTCGGAGTGGTGGGCGAGGTCGTCTTGATAAATTGTGCCATTCCTGAAGGGTTGACATCCAGTCAAGCTACACAGACCCTGCACCAGGGCAAACACGTGTATGGCCTCCACGTTGGCAGCAAGGACGATGCAGGGATGGCTGCAACTGCCACAATGCAAACCTTACAAGTGCTGAATCCACAGACCAGGGCCATTGCCTGAGAAATTTCCACAGACGGTAGCTGAAAGGAGGCGAGAGAAAAGTTTTTCACTGATGGCCACTCGACCTGAGAAACAAGATGGCAGATCTCACAGTAACTATGGCAATACTGCCCTGTCGCACCTCCTGCTTCTCTCTCCAGCAGGTAGAGTAGGACATCCTGGGGTCGGGAGACAGCGGATCGGGAATGGAGGCAGAACCCCAGGAAGGCATTCTGTGGGTACCACTTTATGAGTGGGTGGAATAGCTGGAAAGGGAGCAGTTTGAATGGGAGAGAGAGCGCGTGAAGTACTATAACTTTGTGAAGCAGTGTTTGCGGCCTGCATTCTGAAGGCGCCTCTGATGACCTGAATAGACTTACCTGTGGAAACTTCTCTGACACAGGACCATGCCCTGGAAATTTGGCCTCTCTGCAGCTTAAATTCTCGGAGGGGATGATGTCAGCACTCAAAGGGGGACCAGAGTCCTGACAAAGGCCCTGGATGGATTCCTGTTTGTTAAGAGAACCAGAAAAGCCTGGTTGCAAGCCAGGTGTACATTCTGGATGTACAGCCAGGGATGGGAGGCTACCTGTCTAAATATTTACAGGTTATACATCAGACTCACAAGTTATGGAATAAAATATGTTCTATACTCCTTCCCTGACAAATACCACGTTAGGTGGATGTAACTTTTGAACATGTATCGAGCTATGTGTGTATGAGAGAAAGTTGGCAAAACCTCAAAGATGACTATATATTTTATTTCCAATATCATGGTCCATTGATGAGATGGCCCTATTGGGAGGAGTTAGGGTTATAAGGAATAAAATAAAGATATATGTAATTCATCGATTATTAAAACTATTCCATGAAATTCATCTTCTTTTCAGCCAAATCCACCCCATCCTGCTGCCAGGATGTGATGCCTCACAACAGGCCCAAAAGCAATGGGAACAATCAACCATGGACTGAACCTCCAAAACTGTGATCTAAAATAAGCCTTTCTCTTTGTAAGTGAATTCTCTCTAGTCCTTATTATAATAACAGAAAGCTAACACAATACTGTACGGTTACATGTGTAGAAAATGAGAATGTATAAACCAATCTATGATGACAGAAACCCAATCAGTAGTCCCTTGGGAATGGAGAAGTAGGAAAGAGCACGAGGAGGGGTTACCGGAGGCACAAGAAAACTTTGTCGTGGGGGAGAGATGAATATGTTCACTATCTTCATTGTGATAGTGATTTCAGGTGTATACATATGTAGAAATGCTCATTTATATTCGGTGAATATACACAGTTGATTGTATAGCAACATCTCAAAGAGTGCGTATAACATTTAAGGAGTTGGGGGGGCGTGACGTTACAGGCCTGTAATCCCAGCACTCAAGAGGCTGAGGCAGGAGGATCACTGTGAGTTCCAGGCCAGCATGGGTTACATAGTGAGTTCGAGGCTACGTAGCAAGTTCTTCAACTGCATAGTAAGATGCTGTCTCAAAAAACAAAATTAAAAATTACTGTACTTACACAAGATATATCTTGTGGAAAGGGAGTTATGGGTCAGGCATGGTTGAGAACCCCAGGAGCAGGTGGACTGAGAAATTGGGAAACCTGCTCCCAGTTTCCCATCTTCAGTCTTGCCATGGTCACCAAAACTGTTTCCAGCCATTTAGGCTCATATGCTTAAGTTCATCTGCTGTCCATGTGACCAAATCAAAGGAAGCCATATATTTGGGTAAAAAGGAAAAAAAAAAAACATTTATTCAAAACTAGGAACTGTAAAGTTGCTTTATAAGGAATATAGAAAGGAGAGGTTTAATGGGGTTTAATTGCTTCAAATCCCATGTCACCTTTACAGATGAGCAAGCGCCTTTTCTAGTAAGGAGCAGAGGACAGATAATGCAGATCTTTACACTACACTTGCTTTATCACTTCCTGGCCGTTTTCAGCTCAACCTCTTCTTTCTTGTGGAAAAAAAACCAACCTCCTGGCCCACCTGGGGCTTGCATCAGCATATTCTCACACGTCTTTGGGGAGGAAGAGAAGAGGGGGTGTTGCCACATGCTCAGCAGGAGGGGGTTTGGAGAAATTGCTTATCTCTAAAAGAAAAACCTTAAGTTTTTCCAACTTGCAGTGCCTGTTAAAATTGGGACACCTGCTTGTGATGTGTCTGGTGACCGCTAGGCGGTAGAAGCGGCCTATATGGAGAAAGTGGGGCTTGTCAAGGGGTTATCCTTCCCTTAGAATTCTGTCCTCTAGGATCGCTGCATAAACACTCTTCCTTTATGCTCAGTAGAGCAAGGATTTGGGCCATGGTCTCAGTTCCGCTTCCGTCGCATGATGGTCTCAATACCAAAACCCTTCCCAGTTTTCCCAGATCCTTTTTCAAATGATGTCCTGAGCCAGGAGTGGTGGAGCATACCTGTAATCCCAGCACTCGGGAGGCTGAGCAGGATCGCTATGAGTTTGAAGCCATCCTGGGCTACTTAGCGAGTCCAGGGCCAGGCTAAACTCCATAGTGAGACCCTTTCTTGAAAAAACAAGTCCTGTATAGATAGCAGTCATAGCTCTGGGTCTGTTATCCAAAGGCTATGTTTTTGTGTTGTTTTCATTTTGTTTGGAGACGGGATCTCACTGAGCTAAGTTCCAGCCCTTGGCTCACAGTTTCAAAAGCTTCCGTCCATGATCATCGGCTGGCTCCATAGCTGTGGGCATGAAGGGAGGCAGAACCTTAGGGTGCAGAGGTGTGGAGGAGGAAAGCTGCTGGCCTCACAGCAGCCACAACTAGAGAAAGCCAGAGGAAGGGACCAGGGACCAGATGTAGTCCCCAAGGTCATGCCCCATGCTCCATTCCCTTCGGTGAGGCTCCATCTCCTGATTCTGTCACCTTCAAATAACACCACCGCATTGCACTCTCATCAGTGGGTTCATCTAACTGGTGAGGTTAGAGCCCCGGTGACCCAGTCACTTCTGTAGGCCCAGCTCTGAGCATTGCTGCACTGAGGACGAAGCCATCTCTGAATGAGCCTTTGGGGGATACTTCATCTTCAGACTGTAACACCCAGCTACTTAAAAGACTGGGGCAGGAGGTTGGCTTAACCCGGGACTTTGAGATTAGCCTGGGCAATAACACAAAAGGTTGCCTCAAGAATTTTTTTTGGCCAGGTGTGATGGTGCACACCTGTAATGCCAGCATTTGAGAGGCTGAGGCAGGAGGATCACTGCAAGTTTGAGGCCACTGTAGGCTACCTAGTGAGCTCAAGGCCAGCCTGAACTGCATAGTGAGACCCTGTTCCAAAAAAAAATTTTTTAGTAACAATAGCATTGTGGTTCCCCCCGCCTGCCTTGCAAGCGCAAAGTCCGGAGTTCAATCCCCAGTACCAAAAAAATAAAAAAATTTAAAAAATAGAATAGCATTGCATATAGAAAAGTACGTAAGTCACACATGTAAACGTATAGCTCAATGATTTTTATAAAAATGATCATACCTAAGTATTCAGGAACCAGATCAAGAAAATAAGACATTGCCTGAACTCCACAAACCCCTCATGCCCCTTTCTAGTTACTATTGTCTTTTCTTCCCCCTTTCTCGCTCCTACCCTTCCCACCCTTCCACTCCCAGTGGCTCCCCGGCATTTGTACCATCTTTCTAGGTGATTCCAAGGCAAGGGCAGTGTTGAGGTTTGTTGCTTTTCTAACACTGGTTCTCCAACATAGCTGCATGTTAGGATCACCTGAGGAGCCCCTATCCATTGAAGTACAAGGTGGAACAAGGTAGCTAACAAGGCAGTGTCACATCTTCCACTTGCCAGCCGTGTGACCTCAAAAGAGTTCCTTC